CAGTAAAAATTTCCATCATTCACACTGCCCTCACCACTTATTTCATTAGACATCATGATCAATTGATTTATATGTAAGTAATTAAAGCAAAAGGCATATACTACTAAAAACTGGTCAGAAGCTAGCAAACAATTTTATTTTTTGTTAATAAGAAGTAGAATATACTAAATATTTTATAAGATGAGGATTGATTTCATTGAAAGAACATATTTCATAATATAATTTGATAAATATCTTATTGACTATTACACACCACTCAAAATAAATCATGTACAATTTTAATCTCCTGGTTTTATTCAGTGTTATGCTGAAGTGGCAGTAATCTTGGGAAATATTAGTTAGATTTAAAAGAATCAGCATCATTATCCTGCACTGCTACAGCTGTTTGAAGGAAGTTTCCTTCTCAGCTAAAAACATGTCTCAGGAAAAAGAGCTCTTCTCTTTTAAAAATTCATTCTGAAATATCTACAAATGAAATGATACGATGTCTTGGATTTGCTTCAAAAACATAAGAATGATGAGAATTGTACTTTACCTTGGTGATCTTCTTCCCAGAACACAAAACTATTATCTAATCATGAGAAAAACATTAGGCAAATCCCAATTGAGGGACACTGCAAAATATCTGACCAGTGCTCCTCAAAATTGTCAATGGTATCAAAACCAAGGAAAGTCTGAGACTATTACAGACCAGAGGAGACTAAGGAGACATGACAACTAAATGTAATGTGGTTCAGGATGGGATCCTGAAAGAGAAAAAAACATTAGGGAAAAACTAGTGAAATCTGAATAAATATGGAATTAAGTTAATAGTAATATACCAAAATTTGTTCCTTAGTTGTAATGAATGTACTATGATAAACGTAAGATATTACTAGTAGAGGAAAGTAGGCAAGGAGTATATGAGAATTCTATATATCTTTTGCAACTTTTAGTAAATCTAAAACTATTCTAAAATAGTTTTTAGAAAATAATAATGGAGGCAGGTTTGGTGGCTTATGCCTGTAATCCCAGCACTTTGGGAGGCAGAGGTGAGAGGATTGCCTGAGGCCAGGGGTTCGAGACCAGTATAGGTAACTTGGAGAGCTCTACAATAAATAAATTTTTTAAAAATTAGCCAAACATAGTGGCGCATGCCTGTGATTCCAGCTACTTGGAAGGTTGAGGTGAAAGGATCACCTGAGCCCAGCAGGCTGAGGCTATGGTGGCCGTGAGCATGCCACTGCAATCCAGCCTGGGTGACAGAGTGAGACTCCAACTCAAAATAATAATAATTATGATGATGATGATAATGGAGAGGAAAAACATATGGGGGTGTGTGGTTGGGACAGGATTGGCCATATGTTGATAGTTGCTATGATCTGAATGTGTCCCCCACAAATTCTTATGTTGAAGTCTTAACCTCCCACATTATGGTATTAGAAGGTGGGGCCTTTGAAAGGTGATGAATCAGATGATAGAATTAGTGCCCTTGTGAACAAGAGCCCAGAGAGCTGCCTTACCCCTTCTATCGTGTGAGGATACAACAAAAAGGCACTGTTCTATGAACCAGAAAGCAGAGCCTCACCAGATGTCAAATCTGCTTGATCTTAAACTTCCCAGCTTCCAGAACCATGAGCAATAACTGTCTGTTGTTTATAAGCCACCCAGTCTGTGGTATTTTTATTATAGCAGGAGCTCGAATAGACTATGACAATGGTTATTGGGGCTATATAATGAAAGTTCATTATGCTATTCTGTCTACATTTCTGTATGTTTGAAATTCTCTATCATTAGAAGGTTTAAAAAATACATATATTGTGTTAGGGGGTCCTCAAGATCTCCCCAGTTTCTGTGATTCAGTAGGAGGACTCATAGGACTCAGTATATAATTGTACTCACAGGAAAAATTATTACAGCAAAAGGATAGAAAGTAAAATCATTCTTCAGCCGGGCTCAGTGGCTCAGCCTGTAATCCTGCGCCTTTGGGAGGCTGAGGTGAGTGGATTGCCTGAACCCGCGAATTCGAGACCTGCCTGGGCAACTTGGCGAGATCTAATCTCTACAATAAATCAAAAAAAAAAAAAAAATTAGCCAGGTGTGGTAGTGCACGCCTGTAATTCCAGCTACGTGGAAGGCGGAGGCGGAAGGATCGCCGGAGCCCAGCAGGTCGAGGCTGCGGTGGCCAAAAAAGCAGCAAGACCTCATCCCTACAGTAAATCAAAAAATCAGCCGGGCGTGGTAGTGCATGCCTGTAATTCCGGCTACTTGGAAGGCTGAGGCAGAAGGATCGCCGGAGCCCAGCAGGTCGAGGCTGCGGTGGCCGGGAGCGGCCACTGCACTCCAGTCTGGGCAACAGTGAGACTCCAACTCAAAAAAGGAAAAAAAATCATTCTTCAGGGGAATCTAAGTTAGTGGGGGAAAAAAAACTTTTAAAAAGTAAAATAACCGGCAAAGAGAAAAAGACACATGGAGCAGTCTAGAGGAAACCAAGCAGAAGCCTCTTAGAGTCCTCTTCCTATGCTGTTATACAAAATACACTTAAATCGTCCCTAGCATTAAACTGTAACAATGTAACTGAAAATTTTCATTTCAGCTTTTTGGTTTTAAGCCTTTTTCTCTCTTAGCTTACATTTTAAAGATTTGTTTTTTCCTTTTATTCTCAGCCCTCATACAATGAATGACCCCATGATTGAGCACATACCCATTAATCTAATTGTTTACTTGCTTGAGAAATTCCAAATGTTGTTCCAGAGGTTGACCTTGGAATAATAGAACATGGAGACCCCACGCAGAATTCTCCATTGTTTAGAAGCCCTCTTAGGGCAATTAATCTACAACAAGGCCACGATCAGGATAGTATCAGCTAGCTCTCCAGGTGGACAACAATTTAAGTTAACTATCAAGCAAGACCAGCTTCCTGTGCCACTCCCAGATACTCCTCATTCCATTCTTTCTCTTTACAATCCCCTATCCTCAGCCTCAAATTTTGAAATGTTTTTTTGAAGCATGAGCCTGGCCATTTCCCCATTTGCTGGCCTTTAAAATAAAATCGTCTTCCTTTCACTACATCTCGTGCTTGTTTATTTCTCGGTTTATAAGCAATAAGCAGCCGAGCTTGTGTGGTAGCAGCACCATACATATAATGTTTACATGGATGAGGGAATAAGGAACACTCACTAGAGGAGCCCAGGGTTTTTACTGGGGGTTGATCATGTAAGCACCCTTTAGCTAGTACACGTTAAGATTTCAGACTCTCAGGTGTTCAGCATAAACCACATTGATTGTATAAACAGTTTAGACACAGTGAGCCATCCCTATCATTTAGGGATACTGTCATATTGGTATAGAGAACTGTTTACCAGTCAAGTTCCCAAATGCCAGCCAAGGGCCAATCTTGTGACAGACCTTTCTAAGGATAGCAGTCAGGTCTATGCACATATACATGCGCGCGCGCGCACACACACACACACACACACACACACACACACACACACATGCAGAGCCAGCCATACAACTTTTGGGGGTACAACAGAGATATTTCATAACTCATATTCTTCTCCTGCTGTGAAAGGTACCCCCACAAACCTCTCTTAGAGACCACATCTACTACTCTGGTCCAGAAGTGCATTCCTGAAGGAGGAAGGGAGAACTGTGAGGTATACAGAGATGAGAAGAAGCCCTGAGTATCTCAGTGAGCACAGCTGAAAATTAGTGCTCTTGTTTTTTTTTCTTCTGTATATGGGACTTTAGTCCTGAGAAATCTACCCTGAGAATATAAAAAATAAACAAGAAAGAAGAGTGAGAACTTTTGAGAGGATGAGGCAGAATCTGGTTAGCAAACTGCTCCCAGATGCCTTGTGGATCCATTCTTAGTGCCCTAGGGTTGTGAATATCCAGGAAGCACTGTTGAGTTTGACGTTTCTAAAATACATGCAAACAGTGATGTCCAGTAGGCAGGCAGAGTCTGGAGCTGGTAAAGAGGTGAAGGATACAGGGCCACAAGTGTTTATATCTTCAAATGAGGTAATGCATACAGTTATAGATACACTACATTAACTAGCAGTGGGCATTTTTGTTGAACCCTGTAAGTATCTTGTGAGTAGTGTATTTGTACATGTGTGTGTTAAAATAATTAATTGAACTTCTATCCACACTGATTAGCATTAAAAAATCTTTTTGATATGCTGGAAGTCTCAAAAATGTCAGTGGTCAGGGTTTCTCTTTAATGTATTGGGGGCCCAGAAAAAAAAATACTGGCTGGGGAAACACATTTAAAAGTTAGCAGCACTCAGATGTTAATGAAAGCCAAGGGAGTGTGGGAGTTGCTCACAGGTTCCAAAGCTACTCTACAGGAAAAGAGGACTCTGCAACTAGAACATTTATGAGATTCACTGAAGAAAGGACGTTAACCAGGAATGGCCAAAGAGATAGAAAAACCGAGAGAATGAACTCGGGGAACGATGGCCAAAGAAGGGAAAGAACACCAGGATGACGCTAGCCAAGAGTGCGTTTTAAGAGGACGATCAATCAAAGTGTCAAATATTTCTCTGACTTTCCTTGGTAATCACCACCAAAGTAATTCTGTCAACTGCCCCAGGCACTGTTTGTACAGCTTTGACTCTTGTACAGGGTTTTATTCTGTAATTTACAGCTGTTTCCTCCAACTAGACAGCAAAAGCAAGCGGTTTGAATCTTACTCACTTTTCTTTCCCACTAAGCCTTACTTCCTACTGCTCAATTAATATCCATGGTATGATTTGAAGAACATTTGAAAAAATGACCCGGACAAAGACTCAAGTTTTGAACTTGCTCCAGCAGCCAAAACACCAGCCGGGCACAGCCACACGGCGCAGGCGCAGAGGCAGAACCCCCGTCGTTCTCCGGGAAAGCTTTGCATTTGGCGCGAAATCCCCGCTCGGTGGGCGGAGCTATAGGAGAAGCGCCGTTCATTGGGCAGGTTTGGCGCGGAATCCCAGGACTCCTGCGCTACGATTGGCTGCGGTCGTCCCGGGGAGGGCGAGGGGGCGGGGCGGAAGCGGCGGCGGCGCGCGCAAAGCGGCAGCCTTGGGAAGGAAGCTACTCGTGGCCGCGGAGTGTGGCTGTGGCGTTCTTTCAGTGTTAGGCCACCATGGACCTCGCGGCGGCAGCGGAGTCGGCTGCCGGCAGCCAGCATCTGGAAGTGCGCGACGAGGTGGCCGAGAAGTGCCAGAAGCTGTTCCTGGACTTCTTGGAAGAGTAAGTCGGCGGCCGCCCGGGGCCTCCCCCGCCTTCCGGGCCGGGCGGGGCCGTGTGGCCGGGCGCGTGTTCGGAAACGGAGGGGGTCGCGCGCCCTCCCGATTTAGGCTCCTGGTCTGGCCGCTGCGAGGCGCCTGGGGCGGGTTTAGTTGGTTTCCTGAGTAAGAATGATCTAAAGCCCTCAGACCCTTGTTGTGCCCACTGCCCCACGCTCAGCGCTTTCCTTCTGCCATTTAATGCTCCCAACGCCCGGAGCCCGGTAGTCGGCGCGACCTCTGGTGACCTGTGCGGAAACCGGGGCTCGGTGAGGATGGGTAACAAACAGGTCCCGGGGGCCGTTGGGCGCGGCGGGGTGGAGCGGGAGGCCCAGCTGGCATTGGATGCTGGCAGGGCCCTGCGGGACCTGATGCTCGGAGCACCCTTGCAGCCGGTGTTGAGTTTTCGCGTGAACGTTGTGGTTTGATAGCCGCCCGGGTTTGGGGGTGGGGGCTGCCCTGCTGGGTAACTGGACATGCCCCTTGTTCTAGGTTCCTCCTTCTATCCCTTCTTTTTCTTTCCTATCCTCTGTACCCCTCTTTTTTCCGTTGCCTTCTAGGCTTCTGGCTCTCACGGTCCTGCTCCCTGGCTTGCTTCAACCCCCCCCCCCCCCCTT